GAGGCGCGGGCGAGTGAACTGCGAACTCCGCCACCTGGCTGAGTATCGACCGCGCGGGATGCGCGGTGCCTCGCTGACCCACTGCCCCCTGGCACAGGACAACGGGCCGACGCTTCTCCTCCGCGTCACGGACGCACGTTAAAAGTCAAGAATGAATTAGATTTTCCCTTCAGGACGAAGTCCTCCCAGATATATACGGCCACCTCATTCTCCACTTTTGCGAAGGGGCTACACATTCATAGCTGAGAGTCTAGTTCAGGGAGCTACTCTAAATTAGTGTTGATTTACCATATGTGACTCTATTTTGTACTTTTGGAGAAGATTAGTTGTATCTTCCTGACCTTATATTGTTATTTGTGTTTTTATTGCCACTTTCTTGTGATATTGTAACTAGTATAAGATACGCTTAATCGTAATTAACCTCTCATGAATTCTTACAAAATCAGTTCCTATGCATGATATTCACTTGATAAATTGTTACTTAATAAGGCAAGCACTTAATAAATTTATGTTTAATACATAGGGCATTTGATACATATGTCATTTGGCAAATATTTTAACTTGACGATAGGGTTATTTACAACTCACTTTTATTTATGCAGAAGCGGTTCATTAAATACATGATGAAACATGAATACTCAATTATTTGTAGACATTTAATTATATTATATGTAATACATTTTGATGTCAAAAACAAAATTTTTGATCGATATTTTTATGAGTGCAATGAATGAAATTGTTTTTTGCTTTCCGAAACGTTTACGATGCATGTTCTTGACTGGAATATGGAAAATTTATAGTATAATATAATCTAGTTATTTGTATTGTTGATTCTGTTAAATGAATGACTTTGACCCTGTGATATTTCTTCCAAAACGGAGCAAAATGCTACGGAATTATTATATTTTTTTCGGTCTGTGTTTTTCCAAATTAGTCAAACTGTACCTTGGCCTTTAATTTAAAGACAGAATATTAACATACTGGTTTATATTAATAGTTTATATCATTTATTTTTATTATGTATGTATATATTTTATTTATATAGCATGTATTTTATTATATATTTATATAATGTATGTATTGATATTAAGCATTGATTTTATGTTAATATTCTGTCTTTAAATTAAAGGCCAAGTACAATCCGACCAAAAAGGTTTCAATGTGATTGCTTTAGATACGGCTAGAAAATGACAATCATCCTAAATGAAGTACCATACAAACATGAAGCAATGAGATTGTAATACGCACACTCCAGTCATTTTCTCGTTTGGGAACAAATGGCCCCAAGACCAAATACCTCGCCATGATGTTTTGCTGTGTAGTAAACACTCTTTCTCATTTGTTCAATTTTTGTTCCAGGTCTATGTGCTCGGATCTGGTGTACTGCATCCTGTTCCCGCAGCTTCTGATGGTGGTGCACTTCAAGCACCACTGCAACACGTACGGGAGCCTGGCCGCGTACATCATCGCCTTCCTGGTGCGGATCTCCGGCGGCGAGCCCATGCTGGGGTTGCCGGCGCTCATCCACTACCCGGGGTGGGACGGCGAGAGGCAGCTCTTCCCGTTTCGAACCATGTCCATGATCTTCTCGCTCACCACGCTAGTCGGCGTCTCCGAACTTACGAGGTATGTAGCTGGCGAACGCCGGAGCAGTACCCTAACGAACGAGCCACGGACCACGCGCGATCTTTTCTTTCTCTTCCTTGTCCTAACCTCACACCTCACTTACACACACTCTTACAAGCACAACACTACCACACATGCCGAGAGACCAGTCTGGAGCTTAGAGATTGTCCCTGCAGAGGTCGTGCCACGCTAATAGGGGACACCTGATAGAGGGCGACCTTTTCTTCCTCCTTCATCTTTCCTCACCTCTTACGTACACACACTTACTTACACTAACATGCACCACATTACGACACACGTCAGGGGACAAGTTGGGAGCTTAGAGTTTGCCCCGGCCGGGGCCACTAGTGAGAGATACCTGGTTAGGAAAACCTTAGCTAGCTGACTTTAGGTCGGTGCAGTACCTTGCCATCCATTGAAGGAAGATCACCTTCGAGGAAAAAATGCACTACACATACGGGACTAATAACCTTAACAGTTATCGCTCCCGTAATCACTAACAATTAATCACGAAGTTTGTAGTTTCTCATGTATATAATACGATAAGCAAAGAAGACGGTTTCGTATGATTAAAAAAACTTTATTAAGACAAAATACCGCAAGTGTGCGTCGGCTGGATATGGAATTACTCCCAGAAGTGATTCAAACAGATTTGCGATAAATAATTTAGAAATTTCTAGATAATACTATGGATTGTCAGAAACTTGTATATATTCTTTTATAGCTGAATTAGTTACTTGATATTATGTGCGTAATATAACCGCATGGATATGGCTTTCGGTAATACGCTTAGCAATATTAAGACCATACATGACACCGGTCTTTAAGAGTAAACTCACAGATAAGGTCCTAGATTTTAGAATTTTGTCACCAAATATAAATGTATTTTCTCATTTAAATCATTGATTTACAATGGCAGAATGGTAACCCGAAACCAACTTGTTTTATTACTATGAACTTACCATAATTAGCATAATTACTGTTGATTTTATCTCCGGAAGTGATGTATAAATACCTCATGTAGTATTGGAAACAATGTTTTGATCGAATACACATTGATATTTTTATGATCATTTGGCATATGAAGGGTTCACCGAAAATTGAAAAAAATATAGATTTCATTCTGTAAAAATGTATTCTTTAAAACTACAACAAATCACTAGTGATGAGGATTCTTTTGAATTCCGTTTCCTAAAATTTTGTTCAGATTTTTTTAATCAGAACAATTATTTTATTAGTGGAATGTGAATGAATGAAATCATAGTATAATAATCATTAGATTTATATGGTATAGTTTGAAAATTGTACAACATTCATAAAATTGTAAACAAAAGAGGTAACTTAGAAAACCAATTACGAACATGTTTTTAGGTAATTTTTGTAGCTTTTTTTAAAAATTGTGACTAGAAATGGGACTAGTAAAGCGTAATTAGATTAATAAAAAAGTTAATAACTTCGCATTAAAAATAAAGTAGATACACAAGCAAGTGAAAATAAGTTATTTTCAAGATGTGAGTTAATACCTGAATTTTAATAGTTGAATTGTAGAAGAAAAATACTGTGTAAAAATATTAAAGGATGGATTAATTCATATTAAGAATTACCGTTGCTTGAGCGGTAAAATTTCTAGGTTTTCACTGCAAAGCACCGGTTTCGAATTCCTGTAGGTTCACATTTATTTCTATTGCCATGACCTTATTACGTTCCTCCTTAATGAGTACCTCTAACATTTTGTGTAATCAGACACATGTTTTGTGGGTCATTAACACCACAAAATTAATTTACGACAAAGCGTTTGTCCGTCTCTCTGTCCATCGTTGAAAAACTCATTCAAAATGCATACAATTGACCTTTCTGATGTCATGTCTTCTTGAATTTGAAACGTATATATTGATATGTATTGAGAAGTATGTATGGACTTTGTATGAGGAATCAACGACAATTTAAAAATGTTCTCAAAATGGCTGCATATATTTTCTCAAAAATTTTCCTCAGATAGAAAATTTACCGTTATAAAAATGGTGCAGGTGCAATTTTCGTTGAATTCCCTAAATTTACGAAAATTGTAAATGTTAAAAAATTTTACAGCCTCTTCCTACAACTACAGTATTGAAGATAGATATTTTTTCTTAATAAAATCTATATTTGAAAATGTGACCTTTAAACAAGTTCATGCACAATTTTCTAAGAAATAAAGGGCAATTTTAAAACCAAGTTTTTACTCAGATACGGTTTCAAATTATTTCCTCACGTTTTTAGTACAATGCAACGTCTCATAAGAAGTGCACAGGTCTGATTTTCGTTGAATTCTCGGAATTACCGAAAAATACGAAGTTACAAATTATGCACGAAGGTATGTCTTGCTGTTTTTGATTTGCTACGAGTTTTTCATTCCTATGTCCGCAAGGCTGGGACGCTGCTCGAAGGCCTTCAAGCTCTTAAAGAGCTGTTGTGTCAAAGTACACACATACATACTACTTTTTTGATTTACTGTGATGTCGATAAGTATTTCTAAGATGCCAAAAAAAAGTGTGTCTACAAGAATGCAATGATTCGAAATTAATTTTTTCCTTTTTTGGGAAATTTAAGGAAAAAGAGTAAACGGGATAGAATGCTGTGGGTGTGGGATGGTAGTGAGGAACAGACAGACACAAATCACATTTTTAATGGTGACGATGATCTCAGACCTTCTTCGGGAGATATTACTTCAATAAACAATTACTGGATTTATAAGGAAAAATTGAGAACTCTATTTACAATGAAAGGTTCGTAGTCATATTGCCTTTTTAAGTACACACTGTACAAAAATAGTCAACGTTTAAATGTAAGGAATAGTCAAAATTGCAAGTGATGCTTTTGGTTTCAGAATTTCAGTGAGATATGTTTACCTCTACATTACAATTTACGAATCCTTGATTTTGTGAAATCAGTGAGTAGTTTTAGAGTTTATTCTTAAATTGTTATAACGTTCTCGTATTAATTACTTGATGAAAGTGTCTGTAGTGGGAAATGTTCAGAAGATAGCTACTTGCTGTACAGTGGGGAACGAAACTCTTAGACTAAATTAGGTAAAATAAATTCTGATTTTTTAAGTAAATAAATGATCGGATCTTTATTTAAAAATATTTATATTAATGAAATACTTTTTGGATGAATAATTTATTAAATAGAGTATCACAAATACAAAATATTAAACGTTTTGCAGATAATAGTCGTTAAAATAATTGATCAAAAATAACATACTGATAAATTTTAATTCATGGTTGTAAATACAGGATTACATCAAATGTTGATGGGTGTTCAATTTTATTCACTTGTATTAATTTGCGGAATATTTTCATTTTTGAAGTTAACAACTGATGTTTATTGTTAATATATTCGCAACGTAATCGCTAATGAGAGATCCTTCAGACTTGCTAATTTGTTTTGATATGAGTTACAGCAATTTGTGTTGTAAATTATTCTGTGCACTTTGTAATAAATTTATTTGTGGATTTTATTAATAAAATGTCATACCGTTAAAAGGGTAAATTTAGCAAACTTTTGAGGAAATATAGAATAAAAGATTTCTAATTTATCTCAATTATTTTTGAAACGTCTCATTTAAATCATGCCAATTAATTTAAATTGCCATCCTTGACTAAATTGGAACTATAACCTAGTCTCTTTGAAGAGAATCTGCCACAAAGAAAGGCTTATTGTAATGATGACAGAATGTTGATAGGAGGAACGTTCGAATTTCGATTTTTGTAATAACCAAATTAGCATTCGTCTGTGTCAATGTCAAATATACGTATTTCTATTTCCTATTTCTGCTGAAGTACGAGCTTCTGGTACTTTGATATTACAAAATTTAAAGAAACTAGTAAAAACCCATGCGATCAAATTGCACGGGGAGTGTAAAGCCGAATTCAGTTTTATTTGCCCGGGTTTTAGCATATTCGTCTATTCAGATAGGAAAAGGAATGAATTCTGCGTATAGTGCATCCTCATACTGGCTTGCCCTGCCTAACGACAAACTGACAAAATCCATCCGGTTCGTTTCCACTGTGCACTTAGCCCTGTGCTGCCTCGCCTTATCATTCACGCCTTATTCTGTCACGTTCATTACAATCGTAGTTCATATCTTCCTGAAAATTACAAACCAATTCACTGCACTGAACTGCACAATCTACACTATGCACAACAGATGAGCTGCGATTCGTCCCAGGGTACCGTTAGAACTAGTTACGTCTCCGCTAGATAGTCCTTGAAGCCGACATTTAAAAAAAATAGTATTAATATTTATAGTTTAATATTTATAAGGGATGTTTACATAAAGCGCTTTTGAAATAATATGTATGATGATGATTCTTCTCACTCCGGTTATGAAGAAATACTAATATATTACTAAATAATTATTTGAAATACTAATTCAACTCAATTGATTTGCAGCATACTTTCAATGGTATATAATTTAATTTTATTTAAACCCTGACATTTCTTTCCTAATGAGAGTAATACACTTCTCTTAGTTAGTATAGCATTAAAAATGATCCGAAGTATGGACAAGATAAATATATAAATGCTTTTTTCTTTGTACTTTTTCTATTAAACTAAGTTATTTTATTCCTCTAAGATTTCCTTTGGTCCAAGTAGATATTATGTATTTTGTGTTCTGCTTATTTATTCGTATATTTACTGGTAATAGCAAATACCATTATGTACGTGGAGGTTGATAGTAATTTATTTAAATAAATTTTGTATTCTAGAATTAATGTCAATGCATTATGTTGCAATGCAACATTAGGTACTAAACTTCAAATGACTTCCAATAAATTAAAAAGAGTGATAATACTTTGTCTTAGCAAATTAAGTAATGATTTAATGTAAGTAATGTTTGTAAGTCACAACAGTTAATCCTCGCAAACACATATTTAGATGCGAAAGTTAGTGTAAAATTCAATATTCATTCTAAAGATAGGAAGAGAAACTTTTAATATGTCAAAAAAATTACCTGGTCGAAAGATAATGCTCTTACAAAATAATATTTCTTTAACTGTGAATAAGTACTACGTATACTATGCATATTTATTAAGTAGGAAAGATAGCCATAATATGTAAACTCCTCCGATAACAGAGAGATATTGGAAGATTATTGGCATCAGTGGTGATCTTCTTTGAACAAATTCGTAACTTGTATCCGGAGAATCGCCAGACGTCATAAAATTTGGAGCCTCTCTTTTTCTTGCAAACGATGTTTTGGAGACTTCTCCGTAGAAAGTTTACTTTGCGCTGTCAGCTTTCAAGTTGAGGAGTTGAATAAAATTCCATTTTGTCAGTTTGATATCTACATCAAACTTTCTGATTTAAAGGAAGTTTGTGGAGACTTGACAACCAAGTTTACAAAGTAACTTTGAGCTCAGAAAGAGGCAAGGAAGATACATGTATCTACTCTTGGATAATCCTTTAAAGATCAACGAAATCAAACTCCCATTCTTATCTATAATGTATAACATCATTTAAGTTTTTAAATATCAAACTCAAGGCTTTGCATTTAGAAAGTCCCTTTATTATCAGAAATATATTTGCAAACTGTGGTCCGTGGTCTTCTAAATGACCGCGAAATTATATTATATAGAACCTGAAAGGCAGTAGAACCGGAAATAGCAATTTTTGGCTATTTGCAATTATTGCCACTGGTTGCCATGTTTCACGAACGAACCTAATTTAGTTCCTCTGATATTTGCTACAGGCCTTTCGACACATTGTGCTCTAGGAATTCAACAGCGTATGAATTGAAGATTAAGACCACTGTGTGTTCAGATGTCTTTCAAATTTTGTGAAGTAATAATAATCTGTTTCGTTTTGCTAATTATCTATCTATTCTTATGTAATATCTATTGTTTATCTATCCTATATCTTCAATAATTAATTTGTCAAATGTGCTTCCTAAAATTAGTCTAAGTAAAGTTTATTTAAAAGGAGCGCACATCAATCTATCCCATTTCAAACTGCAAAACTGGATTGCACACCGCGGAAACTATAGAAGTGAATCGCCAATGTTACTTCAGTAACACAATATTTTTCAGCAATTCGGTTGATTTTAATTTTTTTGCTTTCGGACACGTTCTATCCGAAATATCTTCAATAGCAATATATTTTTAAATCGTAAGTATTAATATAAAAACACAAAGTTTGTATCTTCCCTCAGTTCATTAAATTTTTAAGAGCATTTCGCTGAATTTGGGAAACAATTTAAAGAAATAGATGCAATTTTTGTGAAATTTTGTCTTACAAATTTAATTTGATTATATATTTTGTACGTAATAAATATATAAAACATTTATCACGCAATAAGTTTGACCACATCGATATGGGAATTTCCATTTTGGGGAGAATCCTGTGTATAGTAGTGAAAGTAGTCAGAAAGAGTCATTTTTTTAAGAAACACTTTTCCAAATTAGGCTCATCTAAAAGGTATTGATCAGTCGACTTTTTTGCAACATTAAATTACTTTTACTACATGCATTCTCCATAAAATACCAGTATACGAAAAAGTAAAAACATACATTATGATAAGATTATAAACCGTTTGAAAACGAAATCAGAAACTATACCCGAATCGTGTTATTATTAGTCTACATTATATTAACCGCATCCACAATCTAAAGTTATGTGAGTAGGTTTCATAGTTTGGATTTTAGGTACCCTAACAAACGGGCCATAGACCGCGTGCGATCTTACCTTCCTCTTCCTTGTACTATTCTCACCCCTTACCTACAAACACTTACACGAACATGCACTATACTACCACACATGTGGAGAGACCGGTCGGGAACTTAGAGCTTGTCCCGGCTGGGGCGGTGCCCCGCTGGTAGAAGATACATGGTTGGAGAAAACCCGGTAGCTGACGGTAGGTCGGCACCTGATTTCACCATCCAGCGGAGAAAGCTCCCCGCCACCTCCCAAAGACGAAACATGAACTGCACTTACGGGACTAATGACGTTTGCTATTGACGCGCCCGAAATCACCGACAATCAATCATTATTACGGGTTTTTCAGTTGACTTGTGTTTGGAAGCGCGGCGAGGCGCGCGTGCGAGGTGTGCTTCCGTGTTGCGCAGGTGGCTGTTCGAGAGCGGGAAGCTGGCGCCGGGCTACGACTGGTTCCGCTGCGTCGTCAACATCCCGGAGGACGTGGAGCGCGTGGGCGAGCCGGCGGAGGGCGAGCAGATGTCGGTGATGTCGTCGGGGCAGATCGGGCGCGTGTACGGCGCCGCCACCATGGTGGGCAAGGACGAGATGAACGGCCGCATCAACCCTGCGCTGGAGCCCGACGACGACATGGACCCGGCCGAGGTAAGAGGTGCAAAGCGTGCAGAAGGGCGTGCGACAGGCAGCCATCGGCTGGCAAGCGCGCGCGGCGGCGCGCGCGGGCGCCGGCCTGGGCCGTCGGCGTCGGCCTCCGCCTCGTCCCTCATATGCGGGCGCGGCCGAGGGCCACCAAGACGGGCCAGACGGCGCTGTAGACCCCATCGGCGATCCTGCCGTGTTACATAGCACTAAGCGGCTCCCCCCCCGCCCCGAGTAGATAGGCGAGCCCCTGTCCCTCCCGCCAGTCGCGCCGCGTGCGCCGGCCACCCGCCCGCCGCCCGGCCCCCCCCGCGCTCACGCGTTGGCATGTTCGGCAACCCGCCGAAGGGCCGGTAAGGATCACGCTGTATACTCGAGGCCCCGCGCCGGCCCCGGCCCGCCCGCCCGCCCGGCCGCGGCCGCCACACGTCGAATGTAACCCCGCCCGCCACACGTCACGCCATCGCCCGCGACGGCGGCGCCGCGCCGCGGCCGCAAGCCCCTCCGACGCCCGTCGCGTACCGGGCGTCCTGACTGGCGCATGCCTGTTCTACACGACACAGTGGAATCTTTGAAAAAAGAAATTCCTCTGTAATTTTTGTGGAGTTAGATCGACATAGTTTTCAGATCGTGAGATAATTTGGGGCAGAATCAAGTCATCTGCGTCAATATACTAAGGGCGACGTTAACTGATTGTCAGATGATATCCAGTCTGTTTCTGATTATCTTCTACAGAGAGATTTCCCTTGAGAAGTGACTACGACTGCAAATTGAGAATTACGATTCTGAATTTTTGATAAATTATATAAAAAAATACAAAAGGTTCATAGTAGATAAATAAAGCCGTTTAATATTTGAGGCTGTTTTAAAAATATTTTACGCGGAAAGTTGTGAGATATTTGAAATATTTTAAATTAAATGATAAGAAAAGTTGTGACAAAAATGTTTATTGATTTTGAGAGAAATGTGATTACGGGAACAGAGGTCAATTGAAACAAAATTATATTAAAAGGACGCGATGGGCGAAAGTTTAAGACGCTTTACTATGATTCAATGTATTTGTGGGAAATTTCTCATTTCTCGAAATGTGTCATTTCAAAATCGAAGAAGACAATATTAGAGAAAGTCATAAAATGGAAAACACATTCAACTATAAATAATTTTTGAGTGTGTTTTATAGTTTCAGTGTGCTTACTAGTGTGTCAATTCATTGGCATCATTAACATGCGAAATATATTGGAACGTTCATTGGTTATTCGTTCCCTGAAACTGGCATTTCGTTGTTGAATGAGCCACCACTCGCACCCATCAGAGACATAATATAAAGTACCTAAAACTGAAAAAAAATTGTGCCTGACTTAGTTTCGTAATTAACTATTTTAAGCGCGTTTTGATTATCATGTAATAAATATAAGAATATCAAACTATCTGGGAAACTTCCGAAGAAAAATAGGGCTTTATTCTTTCTTACTGAAAATTTGTAGATGAAAAAAAGTTTAAGTTGAAATAATGTATTCTAAAATCGCTCAATAAACTCGTTTATTGATTTTGACTCAAAAAGTCTGTATTAACCAAACGTGCGTCGATAATTAATTATATAAGAAGATTGCTCAAAATCAAAGACGCCGTCAGTCGTACGCGTTAGAAAACCTTTTTTTTAATGCCTAAAATTGGTAACACAATATCATTAAAGTCAAGTCAATTGAACTTTACGACTATGAAGAGATGAAGCCTATCATTGCCAATCGACATTTAGTCAGTGATGCGATGACCTTACCTAGACTCCCCTACATTTTTGGGGTGTGATCATGCATTGTGACGCATCCCTATCTGATGGGTGTTGATCCTCCCGGCCGCTAGGCGGACTTCGCATCTTCTTACGGATGACCCGTGCTGTACAAAAGGACCAATCTCATGTAAATGCGGAGACCGCCGAGCGACGCGGGAGGGGCTGGGCGCGGCGGGGCGAGTCGGGGCAGGGCGGGGCGAGGGCGACCGCCCGCGGGCGATTGGGCGAGGGCGACGCGCAAGGGGAGAGGCCGGCCACATATTCGCCCGGGACGCGGCCCAACAGCTGTTTGTCAACTTCCTCATTGTGTCATCGGTGTTGTTTGTTGGTCGTTAAAGCTATTCGAGGATGTTACGTGACCCCAATACTTCCAGTTTCGAAGACGAATGCTAGAGCTCCAGGGGTCAAGCGACGCACGACTTGCACTCTCCCTCCAGAGGGAGTTGTCTGAGTCATAAAACGTTATTTCAATCATGGCTCATTAGACTAAAATGTAAACCATACGTCATCAAATCAAGTTTTTAAATTAGATTAACACGTAGCAGGGCGTTTGGTAGGAAAAAATGCATAACGAATATAATTTACAAAGCAACCCTTCGCAAATTAGAATTGCAGTAAATTCTGGGTAATAAAGTAGCTAACTACTAACCACATATTGTAAAAATGTTCACTGAAACACACTAAAAATTGAGTATAATCATGCGAATGAGTTGTGGAATCGAAGAAAGATTCCCCACTGATTGCCGAACTGGAAGCGAACGTACGTTTCCGAGATGCGTATCCGGGTTTCGAACCCGGCCCGTCGTGCGTGGCTTCGGCCCTTTGGTGTGAATAAGCAGCCTTATACATATCCTGTTGAACCACGCTTTTTAACAGTCATGTTATTATAGGTAAAATATTCATATGTTTGTTAATGTTTCTGTAGACATTTGAAGACCACATTATATAAATGTTACTTTAAGTTCTCGTTGTACAGAAAAAAAGATATGAGTGTGCGTTCCCACACTCGCTCTATGTATCGTGTTGTCCGGGTCATTAGCCCGCTGGGTGTACTACAGGTTGTTGCTCTGTGCCCTCGATGTTATTTGTAAGTCTTGCCCGACGAAGCCGGCCCGAAAAGTCGTCTGAAAGACGATTCCGCTGTAGATACTTATCTTAGAGCTATGCTTGGTTTTGCAAATAGTTTTGTAAAGATCTTAGCTATAGAGAGTGAGGTTCCTTATTTGAAGGAATTTGGTGCTATTGAAATAATTGTTTATTGTTAGAGTTTTAATTGAGATTATGTCTATGAGAAAATACAGATAGAATATTGTGAAATATCGAGAGAATGAGAAGTTCAGATGTTCCTTTATCTTGGACACGCCTGGAGAGTTGTATAGAAACCTCAACGAAAGATCTGTAAATATTAGACTATTATTAGTTTCCTGTAGTTTCAGGCGTGGTTCGCTAATTGTGAAGAGTCTAGTCGGATATGTGGCTCCAGTGCTGTGTGAACATTAATTAAGGAGCGGAAGATAAAGATTTCATTTGCTTAAATTATCGTTACAAGACTGAAATTTCTCCATGTTCAGAGATTCACCTTCTCGCTTCTTGAAATTTACTCCCCTTACATGATATTTATACATTTCTTATCTTGAACTTATTTAATTGAAAATCATATACATATCACGAATAAACATATCCAACGAAATAATATCACTAACATTTGGCGGTACGTGTACAGAAATAATGAGTTTGAAATGGAATGAGTTCTCATTTACATGATCTTCGTACACACAAAAGTGATTTGTGATTCACAAAATCTTCATAGAAACCATAAAATATCAAACGCATATAAACAATAAAGTCAGATCAGGTATATACAAACCGATTATTTTATACTTTGTTAAAGAAATGAAATTGTTGATATTGTTACCATTTTTTATTACAATAGTGTTGTCCCAGTAGTGAGAGTTTACGTGTTCGTATGTATCAAATATTATCAAATTTATACATATCAGATAGAAAAAGTGGCCAAACTAAATGTGTTTGTGATAAAAATAGCTGTTCCAGCTTAAATGCTAGCGACAGAATCATATCATTCAAGTTACCTGAGAATGAATCTTTAGGGCGATACACTGAAACACACTAATTGCTCTTGGTTATCCTGATGAAGCCCCCTGCTATTCTTCAGGACTGAAATTGTCCCCATTAAATGCTTTCCCGGGAAGACGATCGAAACGTTGGCTAATCTTACGACACGAAGGGAACCTTCGGCCAGTCAAGAGCTGTCACATGCCGTCGGCCGCTTGGATTGGTGAAACAAGGTAACCAACCGGAACGGAATGTAATCCGAGGTTACGTGGCTGTCAGAGATACGTAGCGTCGTCGGCACAGGTGCCAAAGTTTCGGCCACCGTTCTGCAACCCTCCTCTGAGCATTATGCATTTCGCCCCGAGAAAGTCGCCGAATGCCCGTAGAATTGGCACCTGATTAGGACGCTGCGTCTCCCGTACAGGCAGTTAATCTCGGATTAGATTCTGTTTCGGATGTTAACCTTGACTTTCCACTTCGAGGTTTCCGATGCCGGCGGCTTGTGACAGCTCGTGTCTGGTCTTGTCGGACAGCCAAGTAGC